CCCCCAAACATTCCCATTTCTCTAATGTTATCATTCATCAAAATGGCGTCGGTTTTCAGCATCTACCAGTCTTTTTATTTAATATCCACGCCGGGGCTGCACAGCCGTGACCCTACGGAGACGAGAAGGGAGCACAAGAGGCTTCTGCAGCCCAGCTCTCCCTCTCGCCCGTGTAACCATGGGCGAAATTAAATGGCAGCTGGAAGGAGACGGGCAAACGCACTTTCCTTCTTCCACATCCTCTGGCTCGCAAGTTGAATTTCAGCCTTGCCTGTGCGTTTTCCTCCTCCTTGGCCTCACTCCTATTGTCAGCGCAGACACGGCGTGTGTTTGCCGTGCTGGGGGCGAGGGCTGGCTGGTGGCGGGGGGGGAGTCGCCTGCCGGCCGCGGGGACTCGGTAGTTAACATCCTGCTCTTCCTGGAGGAGATGAGTTATAACGGGACCGGCATCTCCTCTGCCCGTTTGCGCTGGAGTCGTCATAACAATGCACCGAGGCAGAGGTGAATTTGTTCGCCCAACACGAAGAGCCGCGGTCTGGCGGTGCGTGGCTCAGCCCGCGATGTTAACACGGGTGGGCACGGCTGTCACACACGGGCACTGCTGCCGGCGCGTATAGTCTCCCATAAGAGAAGGGAGGTGAACTGGGATCCTTCTTTCTGCTTAGGGGGGAAAAAAAGGCCAACTTCCTGAAACAGGTTTCATGGTTAAAAAAAATAAATCTTGATATCCATGTCAATGGGACGTTGCCTTAATTAACAGGGGAGAGCCTAAGTCAGGGGAACCGGAGGAGCCCTTATTGTCTTACACTTTTCAGAGCCAGTTACAGAAGGTCCTTAGACCTCAGTGTGGCTGGATTTAGCAGTGGGGTGAGGGCACGGGCAATTGTGCACTTGCCGAATCAGACTGGGAGTCCTTTTTTCTTTTCCCCCTCCATTCATTATATTTATTTTTTTTCCTGTTCCGATTGTCTGCTTTAACGCTAGTGGTGGGGAGAGGACTGGCATTGTCTATCTGGTCACCTTTTAAGTGTATTTAAAATAAGTGACTTAGGCTTTTGATCAATTAGGAAAAATTCTTCTTAATGTCCTTTAATTAATGAGCTTAAAAGAGATCATTGTCGCTTAAGAAGTGCTAAAGGAATACATCAGGATTACTTAGGCGAGTGATTCCATCCTCACCATGTTGAGTTGTTTTCTTGGCAGTGGCTGAAATGCTTGGAATAAAACCCCACATTTTGGGTGGGTTATTTGGTAGCAGAGTAGTCGTTTTGCTCACTTAAGAAGAATGCAGGCAATAGCTAATTGCTATTCTCGTGTGTTTGCTAATGACAAACAAATAGCCCATCAGAATTTACAATTCATTCCTTCTTAGTTTTGGCATTTCTTTTGCAGTATTTTCAAGCAAGGTTGTAGTTGTCACTAGGCACGTTTTCGTGCAGGGCTTTATTTTTTTTTTAAGGGGTCCGATCATTTCTGTGTGCTGTGGTTACCACTGGGAAAAAAATCCACCTTTGAAATATAGTTTTGGATTTTATTCGTATTTTTTTATGGAATTAAGAAATCTATGTGGATTCTTTTATCTGCTTGGAATAAACGTACGTTTTTTTAAAATGTCAAAGGCATAGTCTAAACATGTCTTGTAGGATGACGCAACTGGTTAGATGTAAATGCATGAATTCCTGGATGAGTTTAAAGATGTAACAATTTGTTTATTTGTGGGTCTGGGGTAGAAAAAATTGAATTCTGTAAGCCATATTAACCATGCATATCTCAATTTTTCAGAGGATGGCCAGTATTTTCTAAAGGTCCTCATACCTAGTTATGCTGCTGGATCTATAATTGGGAAGGGAGGACAGACAATTGTTCAGTTGCAGAAAGAGACTGGGGCCACCATCAAGCTGTCTAAATCCAAAGATTTTTACCCAGGTAGGTGCAAAAATTAGCCAATTCTTTATTTTTAAATCCCAAGGGATGTATGTACGTGTCAGTGTGTTTCATATATGGACAACTAAGCTTCCAGTGCAGCTGGAAGCATTATTTCTCAGAAAAGTGTGTAACAAAGTACAACAGTATAAATGTTGTGTCTGTCTTGGTGTATGGAACGGACTGTGTATTAACTGCTTGAAATATGTTTAAATATTTACAATGTTTCTGCAAAATAGTATTTTCATTGACATTTTGATTGCTTTGTTTCTTAGTTTTTAAAAAATCAAAATCTAGCTTTAAGGAACCAACTTGACAGCTGGCGTAAAAATAATTGTTCGTTTGAAGTTTCCAGACATTGTAATGACAATTAAGCTAGAATGAGTAAAAATGAGAGGCTGCCTCCCAAAGAATGGGCCATTTACTTTAAATCCATTATGTACCTTCTTTCTGCTTCACTGCTTTGTTCACTGGCTCTGGAGTGAAGTAAAGAGGACAAGTGCTGCTCTTTAGATATTCTTTATATCATGTTTATCATGATGGTGAAAGTAAACTCTATTATAAAAGTGAAATACTTTAGGTGAATAAAAAAATGAGTGTTTTATATTAACTATATTAATGCACAAGAAACAAGTTTTTAATATCTGCGTGTAATAATAATAAATACCTGATTTAGCATTTCTCCTTGATAAGATATCTGAAGAGGGAGTCTTACATAATGATACATACTATTTTAGCTTCTGCAATTGAATAATCTTTTTTTTTTTTTTTTTCCCCTAAAGATGAACAAATTAGCATTCAGCAATTGAACTTTGTTCTGGAGGACTTTTTCAAAATCTGATGCAAAATAATAACATGGATAACACTTCTTTGGTGTTTTACTTTTGTTACTTTTGAAGAATAACTGGTGATTTAGAATGGAGTTGACTAGCTGTTACTGACTCTTTTCTATTGGAAAAATAAGAGCTGCTTTGCATTTGATCTAGTTTAAGAAGATGAATTCTATGAAATAGTGAAGGCAGTTGGTATGGATGTGAACAGAACACTAATACTGGAGCATTTAGCTTTCCTGTCCTCTAACTTTAGTGTCAGGCAGAAGTGGGTAATTTTTTATTAATGGAGAGATTGTGGTTTGTTTACGATGATGATTTTTGATGTGGAAATTTGTTGTACATATTCTTAATGAATGTAGTTTATGCTACTTAAATGTCAGAGGTTAAAGTGATGCATTTAGATTTTTCCTGTTGAAAGATACTTCTTATGAACTGATGCTTGTTGTCTTTGAGGGTTTTTTAAAATTTTTTACTTTTCTTTAGAAAGTTAGAAAA